ATCTGGGACATTGGGGTATTGGGGTAACTACTGATTAGCTGTTGCTAGGGGACTGCTGAACATTATCACAGGCGGGTGGTCAAAGTACATCTTGTAGTTTTTCTTGGAACTGGAGTTTATGTCCAGACCACCTTATTTTAAGATGGAGCCAAATTTTAAAATGGAGTCACTTAGGTCTCACATTCCCCCCTTCGTATGTAGCTCTAGAGGCCCAATCATGGGTCTCTGGGGGTTAATTCTATTGGGTTCTCTGATATAGGTTGGTATTTTGACCTGAGAACCATTAATTGTACTGTACTGATGCTTTCTCTAATGAATGAGACCAATTTGTTAAGTATGCAAGGTCCAGACTCGTATAGGGCTTTTAGCTTGGGCCAGACGTCCTTGTGAATCAGTTGAATACCTCTTAAAGAAAATAACAACTCTTGATCACCAAGTTCAGTGAGCACCTCAGACCGGAGGTTAGGGATAATGGGAGGGGGCACCCCAAACATAATTTCAAAGGGAGTCAGTCCCATCTTATAGGGTGAATTGCGTACCCTATAGAGGGCAAAGGGAAGGAGAGCCACCCAGTCACCGCCAGTCTCTAAGGCTAATTTAGTTAAGGTCTCTTTTAGGGTCCTGTTCATTCTCTCTACCTGTCCTGAACTCTGGGATCTGTATACACAATGTAATTTCCAGTCTGCCCCCAGTACCTGCGCTAAGCTTCGACTCACCTTCGAAACGAAGGTAGGTCCATTGTCTGACCCTAGCATTACTGGGAAACTATACCTTGGCAATATGTCTTCTAGCAGCTTTTGGGCCACAATCTGTGCTGTCTCATGTTTGGTGGGAAAAGCTTCTGTCCATCCTGAAAAAGTATCTACAAAGACTAGCAGGTATCTGTAACCATATCTTCCAGGTCTTACCTCAGTAAATTCTAGTTCCCAGTGTACGCCAGGTCGGTCTCCTCTCAATCTGCTGCCAGGGTTAGCCTTATTTGAGGTAGCATTGGTCAGTTGGCAGGCCTTGCAAGTAGCAACAATGCATTCTATTTTGGTACTGGCATCTCGAATCTTGATTTCAGCATGTCTTAGGAGGTCCTGCATCTTGCGGACACCCATGTGGGTGGATCGGTGCATTTTGGAGAGAACTTGTTCTCCCAAGGCCTCAGGTAGAATGATTTTACACTCAGATGATTTCCACCATCCTTTGAGGCATTGGGTCATAGGCAGTTGTTTTATCCATTTTAAGTCTGCCTCAGTGTATTGAGGTTTTTCTGGCAAAGCAGCGCCCCCTGGATCGGGCAATTGAGTGGTCAGCGTCAGATCAGCCTCTAGGGCTATTTTTCGAGCTGTCTGGTTGGCCAAATTATTTCCTCGGGCAATCAGAGTATCATTTTTTGGTGCCCGGGACAGTGGACAATAGTCAATTTCTTTGGCAGCCATAGGGCCGCCAGTAGCGCAAGAATTTCCTTTTTGTTTTTAATAGTCTTTCCTTCAGCCGTTAACAGTCCTCTTTCCCTGTATATGGCCCCATGTATGTGAGCGGTGGCAAAAGCATACCTGCTGTCTGTGTATATATTTAGCTTCTGGCCCTTTCCCAGAGTCAGTGCCTTGGTTAACGCTATGAGCTCTGCTCGCTGTACTGACGTTCCAGTGGGCAAGGGTTCAGCCCAAACGACCTCAGTCTCAGTGACCACAGCTGCCCCGGCATACCTTTGCCCATCCTGAATAAAACTGCTCCCATCAGTGTACCAGGTATCTTCAGCATCTGGCCATGGTTGATCTTTCAGATCCGCTCGGGTCCCGTGTACCTGAGCCAAGATGTCAGTACAGTCATGTAGCGGGGCCTCCAGGTCTGGGTCAGGCAATAATGTAGCCGGGTTTAGGGCAGCCAGGGTCTGGAAGACAATTCGGGTTGGGTTTAAGAGCAGGCCCTGATAGTGGGTTAGGCGGGCATTGCTGAGCTATCTATCTGGAGGCTGTTTTAGAACCCCTTCAATGGCTTGGGGGGTGGTCACGTACAGTTCTTGGCCCAAGGTCAACTTATCAGCATCTTTGACCATCAGGGCCATGGCAGCGATTATCCTCAGGCATGGGGGCCATCCGAGTGCAACAGGATCAAGTTTTTTTGGACAGGTATGCTACTGGTCGGCTCCATGGGCCCAGATATTGGACTAGGATGCCCTTAGCAATTCCTTTGTTTTCATCAATGTAAAGGTAGAAGGGCTTAGTGACATCGGGCAAGCCCAAGGCTGGCACTGACAACAAGGCAGCCTTAATTTGATCAAAGAACTTTTGTAGTTTTTCTGTCCATTGAAAGGCCTGATTGTCTTTAGTTGTCTCATAAAGGGGCCTCGCAAGTTCCGTGAACCCCGGTATCCATAAGCGGCAGAAGCCAGCCAATCCCAAGAATTCTCTAACCTTCCGAGGGGAATCTCGTGCGGGTATCTTGAGAACTGTCTCTTTTCTAGCATCAGACAGCCATCTCTGCCCTTCTTTGAGTATGTATCCTAGGTAGCTTACCTCAGGTTTACAGATTTGGGCCTTGTTGGCAGATGCCCGGTATCCCAGTTCCCCTATGACCGTCAAGAGTTTCTTGGTTCCATCTAGGCAGGCCTCCCACGTCTTAGCTGCTATAAGGAGATCATCTACATATTGTAACAGAGTCAATTGGGGGTTTTGGAGGCGGAACTCACCCAGGTCTTCATGCAGGGCCTCGTCGAAGATGGTGGGGGAGTTTTTGAACCCCTGAGGTAACTGGGTCCAGCTCAACTGTCCGTTGAGGCCTTGTTCCGGGTCACTCCATTCAAATGCGAAGATATGCTGGCTTTTGGGTGCCAGCGGAAGGCTAAAGAAGGCATCCTTGAGATCCAAGACCATGTACCATTGATGGCTCGGGGGAACTGAGCTCAGAAGGGTGTATGGGTTAGGCACCATGGGGTGGATATCTATGACCCTTCTGTTTACCTCACGGAGGTCCTGCACTGGTCGATAGTCATTTGAGTGGGGTTTCTGTACCGGCAACAAGGGGGTGTTCCAGGCCGATTGACAGGGCCTTAGAATACCCTGAGCAAGTAACCTCCTGATGTGTGGAGTTATTCCTTTGCGGGCCTCCAGGGACATAGGATATTGGCAAACTTGTGCAGGGTCCACTCCTGGCTTTATTTCTATGAACACAGGTGTCCTGTGTGCGGCCAGCCCCATGCCCTCAGTCTCTGCCTATGCTTGCGGGAACATGGCAAGCCATTGTTCCACGTCAGGATTGGGGGGGGGGCTGCCCCTGGTGTAGCAGATACTCATCCTCAAGGCTCATAGTTAACACTTGGATGGGCTTTCCCTCCTGGTTAAGGACCACCATGTCCCCAAGCTGAAAATGGATTTGGGCTCCTAACTTAGTGAGCAAGTCTCTTCCAAGTAGAGGATAGGGGCAGTCAGGTATAATCATAAATGAGTGGATTACCCAGCCCACTCCCAAGTCCACTGTTCTTCAGGTAGTCCATGAGTACTTTTTCATGCCTGTGGCTCCTTGGACCCAGGAAGTTTTGTCAGATATATGGCCATGTGGTTTAAGCAGAACTGAATGCTGAGCTCTGGTGTCTACTAGAAACTCAACGGGCTTCCCCTCCACTTTAAGGGTTACCCTGGGCTCAGGGAGGGGTGCCGAGCCCCATCCCTCCTAACCACTTATTTCGTCCATGGCCAGGATGGGGGCCTTTGAGTGGCCTCCCTGTCACTTTTTGGGGCATTCCTTAGCCCAGTGACCTTCCTCTTTGCAGTAAGCACATTGATTTTTCCCCAACCGGGGGGCACTCCCTGCGTTCCCCCTTACCTTCTCCTTCCACCGCAGTTTTTCTCAGACGACATTCACGTTCTCTCGGCTCTCCTGCAGTGGTGGCCAGAAGGATCCGAGCCAGGTTTTGGGTCTGGCGGTTGTCAGCTTTTACCTGTCTTTCCTCTGCATTTTCCCTGTTGTTATACACTCTCTCTGTCACTGCCACTAAGTCCTGAATACTCTTTTCTCCTAATCTGTCTACTTTCTGTAACTTTCTCCTAATATCTGGCGCCGCCTGGTTGACAAAATGCATTATTACAGCTTCCTTTGTCTCAGTTGCCTCTGGGTCCCTAGGAGTATACCTACGGAAGGCTTCCTGAATTCTTTCTAGGAAGGCTGCAGGGCTTTCCTTCGGTCCCTGTTGTACATCCCCTACCTTGGCCAAGTTGGTGGGCTTTCGAGCAGCCGCTTTGAGACCTCCCAACAGAGCCTGGCGATAGACCCAGAGCCTCTCCTTACCTTCTGCTGTGTTGAAGTCCCAGTCGGGCCAGGACAAAGGAAAAGAAGTGTTGATAGTGTCAACATTGGTGGTGGGTTGACCATTGTCACCAGGAACCGATTTCCTGGCTTCATTTTGGATTCTCTCTCACTCCTGTGTGGTAAACAGGATCTGGAGGAGCTGTTGACAATCATCCCAGGTGGGCTGGTGAGTGAACAAAACAGTTTCTAATAGGTTAATTAAATTCCTAGGGTTGTCTGAGAATTTGGCGTGTTGAGTACGCCAGTTATAAAGGTCACTGGTGGCGAAGGGCCAGTAGTGATGAGGCTGGTTACCATGCTCATCAGGGGGCCCTGTCACTCTCAGCGGGAGAACAGTAGAGTCTGCCGGCCCTGCCGGTGAGGCAGCATGCTGATGGTGAGGGTTCTGGGCAGGGCCATCCCCGCTGCCAGCGCCCAGAGCCGGCCCTCCCTCCCCAGTTCCGGCTGGGGCTGGGACTTCTCCCCCTGCCTGTTGTCGCGGGGGAGTGGAGGGAGAGTGGTGGTGGGGGGGAAAGGAGATCTTCCTCGGTTCCTCCTTGGAGGACCAGGTAAAGCGGCACGGTCGGCTCAGTTCCGGTTTGCCTTTTTCCATCGCATTCTCTGGGAATCTTTTCACAGGCTGCCAGGATTACCTCCGGCTGCTGTTTCTGTGGAGGCAAAAAGGGCTTGACCCATGGAGGGGGGTCACATATTAGATTTTCCCAAGTGACGATGTAAGGCACCTGGTCAGGATGTCCCATTTGGGAGTGGAAGACTGCTTCTCGGACCTTCCTAGCCGTTCCGAGGTCAAATGTGCCCTCGGGTTGCCAGCCCACTCCGTAAGTTGGCCACTCTGATCTACAGAGAGTGATTAGTTTCCCTTTTTAAATTTCTAAACTTAGATTATGAGCACACTCCCGAACTTTTTTAAAATGGTCCATCATGAGGGACAGGGGGGTGGTCACGGTCTGTCCCATCATCCCAGTCCAAGTCAAGTGACAACAATAATACACGGTGATAGACAGCCAAGCACAACAGAAAAACAAAAGGCAAGACAAAACAGTCCTCTGCTCAATCGGAGGCAAAACTGAAAGTAGGACGACGGCCTCACGCCATGCCGTGGGAGTGACCCGCACCGTCCTTCCAGAAGTCTTAGAGACTCACAGGGCACTCCGTCCTCTCCGGAGGGGTCCAGAACGTCTTCCAGGACCCCGGGTCAGCGGCCCTCCAGCGCATCCGCCTAGACCATCTGCCGACCTGCTCAGAAAATGGGCCCCAGACTTTATAGACACAGAAACACTCACCGCCCAGCGTCGACCCTCCGGTACGGGGATCCTGGGGGTCTTGGGGATCCCGGACGAGCCCCCAAATGTTGTGCCCAGACTGCCAGGACCCCGAAGACCACCAAGGAGCCGATTCCGATGCAAACACACAAGGGTTGTTTATTCAAGCTCGAGCAGGGACTCTCAACCATCGCCGATGCAGCGGGTCAGGATTGAGAGCCCCTAACTCCAAATCAGCAGGGGTTTTTATAGGGGTTACAGCAAGGTTCGGGGAGTTCCAGTTTGGAAATTACATGATTGGCTGGTACATAGCAAATTTTGAATGTTTAAACCTGATTGGCTGTGCCTCGTGGGCCAAACAGCAAACGGTTGCTCAAGCTATTGAAAAGAACATCTGGGACATTGGGGTATTGGGGTAACTACTGATTAGCTGTTGCTAGGGGACTGCTGAACATTATCACAGGCGGGTGGTCAAAGTACATCTTGTGGTTTTTCTTGGAACTGGAGTTTATGTCCAGACCACCTTATTTTAAGATGGAGCCAAATTTTAAAATGGAGTCACTTAGGTCTCACATTTGCAAAGGAAATTATTACATAAGAAAAAGAGACACTGGAAATTAAGTCAAATATTAACAGCAATTACCTCAGTGTGGTAAGTCATCTTACCCTCCCTTTCACTTTCCAAATTTTCTGAAATGAGCACATTAAATATCAATGGCAATTGAAAAAAATATGTTTTGGACAGGCTAGGCATAGTGGCACACTCAGCATTTGGGAGGCTGAGGCAGGTGGATTTCTGTGAGTTCGAGGCCAGCTTGGACTACACAGCAAGACCCTGTCTTCAAAAAAAAAGAAAAGAAAGAAAAAAATTTCCAAATCTATACCCAATGAAAATTCTTTAAAAATGTGAAGGTGAAATAAAACTTTGTTTGGTCACATAAAGTGAAGAGATATAGACCCATATTTATACTGGCAACTGTTATTTATCTTTGTTTTTTTGGTCAGTTGGCTTTTAGTTTAGTTTTGGTTTTGTTTTTACCTTTTTTCAGTGCCGGGGATAGAACCCAGGGCCTTGGCTGTGCTGAGCAAGGGCCCCATCATGGTGCTGTGCCTCCAGCCCCCAGCAGGGCTCAGAGAAGTGCCAGGTGATTCGGGGGTGGGCAGAGCCACGCGGAGGACATGAGCAGGAGACCCTTAGCTTGTCCCAGACACAAAAACTAACTCGAAATTCACTATATATTCAAATGAAAAATTTTATTCTGTGAAAGATACCACTAAGAAAATGAAAAAGCAAACCATAGATTGGGAGGGAAAAATATATATTGTGTGCATATAATGCATATGCCATGCATATGGATGGGTGTATATACCTTACAAAGTATGTGAATGTAAAGTCCTTCTACTCATTAATTAGACAATCACTTCACTTTAAAAGAGGTGAAAGATTTGAATTTGACTAAGTGCTTCACAAAAGAAGATATATGGGAGGCCAATAAGCAAGTGAAAAGATGCTCAGAATCATTAATCACCACGGAAATGGAAATCAGAACCACAGTGTGCTGCTGCTACTGCTGCCGCTGCCTCACACATTCAAATGCCTCAGAAGAGAGGCTTGTCCAGCGGCTGAAAGCCTCTGGTTGCTGCTGAGAACGTGAAAGGAAGCAGCTACTTTGGGAAATTGTTTCAAAGTTTAACGTACCTTCGTTGTGTTACCGAGCAATTTCAGTCCCAGAAATTTACCTAACAGAATTAGGAACACGCGGAATTAGGAATGTTCACACCGAGAGACTTGTACATGATCGTTTAACGGCAGTTTTATGTGTAATGGCCGAGGGACAGAAACGGCCGATGTGCTGGTGAGGAGTGAATAGATACAGGAGCATGTATTCATGGAGCAGGACACAGCTCAGCCGGAGAGCTGGGTGAGATACATTCATCCAGTGGAGGAGGCTCAGAAACGTTATGCCAAGCAAAAGAAGCCAGACACAAAAGGGTACAGACCTCAGGATCCACTCGTGACGCTTGGAAAAGCGTGACCCCTGGCTTTCGAAGGCAGACCAGTGGCTGCCTGGGGTGAGGAGGATTTGCTGGCGTGGGGATGCAGGAGCCTTTGGGTTGGTAATGGTGCAGTTCTCTTGATTTAGGTGGTATTTAGATGGGTGTATATGCCTTCCAGAACTCAGTGAGCAGCAGACTTAAAATAGGTGTGTATATTGATAACATCAGTTTAAAATGGGGAATAAGTGAAATGAAAACCTCAGTGAAGCCACTGAGTTACAGATCACACACAGCTGACGTGATTGCTGGAGGTGGCACCTTGGGACAGCCTTGTCCCCAGTACTGAGCCCGAGCCCCCTGGACTCGACTGCCGAGCCAGTCCCGGCCCTCTTCCTCTTTTATTTTGAGATAGAGTCTTGCTAAGTTGCCTGGGCTGGACTTGAATTTGTGAACCTCTCGCCTCAGTCCCAGCCACCACATCCAGTGCTTTGCTTCCTCAGCACTAAGGAGCAAGTCTGGGCCTTGAGCGTACTAAGTAAGTGCCCTGCCACTGAGCTATAGCCCTTAGCCTGACAGACAGCTATGCATGGGAAAATCATTGCTGGTTCTTTTTTATTAACTAGGATAGCATGTATTATTTTGAAATTTCTTTTTTTTTAATCTAAGAAAAGGAACTGTCTTTTGATTTTTCAGACCATCCATGGAATTTTGGAGAAGAGCAAATTTTGCAAAGGCATGACAGTAAAGTATGATTCAAGACTTCGAGAAAGGGTAACTTATTTATATATTATTCTTTACCATATGTTTTCAGTAAGCCACCTTAGTTTATCACTTGCTAAAAATTCAAGTGCTGTCCTACTGGGAATGAAATGTTTTAGACTCTACGAGGTTTCCAGCCACCTTTACTTAACTATTAAAATCATGTGAGATGAGATAAGCACCTTAAATTATAAAAGATAAGTTTCAAGTAAGAATGAATAGTTCTCACTCCTAATCCTACTCCTCAGCACAATTAGATTTTCTTACCCCTATTTTATCTACCAGAAATGAATCTCCCTGAAGCCGTGACTCACCCAGAGTCGCAGCAATTTCACATCTGAGATTTGGACCCAGGTCTCTTCTAGAGCAGTGTTCTGTTACAGTACTGACCTGTAAGCTCATTAACGTCTTTTCTAGCTGGGTAGAAATCCGGCAGAATAGCTAGAGCACTTTTACAGACTCGCCTCCTGACTTCCCTGTGTTCTGTTACAGTTCAGAACACAGCCTCGGCCCCAGCAGAGGTAAATCCCATGGAGGGGACCCCTCCCTCCCTCCCGCCCGCCCCCAGAGCCATGCTCAGACCTGGTGGGGACCCCCGCCTCAGCGCCGCCCTCTCTCGCTGCGCTCTCAGTTGTTCATCTGTGCTCGCAGCAATGGCCTGATGATTGTTGGTCTCTTCCCGAGCTGCACGCTCAGACGTCACACTGCCAGCTGCTGATTTCCGGTCTGGATGCGTCGTGACATTTCCACCCCGCAGTGGGGTGTGCTGCCCTTACTACAGCCTGCTCCTGCCTTACCCCGCTCTGCAAGTCCTTCATTTTTCCTTTTTGCTGCCTCTTGCCGCACAGTCAGTCAACATCTACACCTGACGAGTGTTACATCTGTGTGCTTGTTATTGTGATACTTTGTAGCTTTTGTTTGTTGTAAGTTTTTGGTGCTGTGGGTAGAAGCCAGGGCTTTATGTGTACTAGGCAAGCGCTGTATCCCTGAGCTACACCTCCAGCCCTTTTTATTTTATTTTGAGATGGGCTTGCTAAGTTGCCCAGGCTGGGCTTGAGTTGCATCCCTCCTGCCTCAGCCTCCTGAGTGGTGAGGACTGTAGGTGTGTGCCTCGTCCTCGTCTCTGGGTGGTGCTGAGCTGCTCATTTCTCGGAGAGCCCATGCTGCCCTTGTTTCAGCTCAGGGTCCTCTCACCTTGGTACTGACGATGACTCTTTTCAGTTTTTCGAGACAGGGTCTCATGTGCGTAGTGACTGTCACCTCCCCTGCCATTCGCTCCCCGGGTTCTCCAGCCCGCGAGGTAGCTTGAGTGAACCCTGGCACAGTCCCCAGTGGGCGGGCGGCCCACCTCCGAGCAAGTGACGCACAGCCCTCCATCCTCACAGCTCCCAGTGCTGAGGACGAAACCCTTGTCTTGATCCACACCTTACGGGGCGGGAGCCACAGGACACAGACCCCGTCCGTGTCCAGCATCGCCTGGCCACCTGGCCTTGGAGTCTGTGTGGCCGGGGGACCACTCTTGCTGCCCACGCGCTCCAGCTCTTCCCTCCATGCGCTTCTTGGTTTGTATCAGCCCCGCCTGGGGCACTTGCTCCCCACACCCTGCCGACTTCCGCTCCCCTTCCAGGCTCTGGGGCCTCAAGGTGAACTCCAAAGGCAGCTGCACATGTCTGTGTCCCTCCGCCCTCCCTCCAGGCCGCCCACTGGCTCCCCTGGTTGTCGCCCTGTGGGCCCCTGGGAGAGGGTGTCGCTGTTGGGATCCCCATCACATTGGGGCCTTGTCCCCAGTGTGCTCAGTGTGACACTCGGGATATTTTATAAAAGAGGTTTCTGTCCCTGTGAGATGCAAGCGAGTGCACATAGAGCTGAAGACGTAAAAATCGCGACTGGAGGATGGCAGGAGTGGCCAACTTTCTAAGACAACATGCATGTATTCTTGTAAAGAGGCATTTTCAGAATTGGCCCTGTATCTGATAATGGTATGAGGACACTGGCATTGTCCCTGCAGCACAAAAATGGCAGTTGTTTCTTTCGGTACTTTATCATGCAGTATTGCGTTATCATTGTAGGAAGCTAACAGTGAGAAGAGTTTGAAAAAAATACAGTGTAAATTTCCACCACCCCCAGATACACGCAGTGAACACTGGGGCATGCGTGTTGCTGACTTTTACATGTCCGTCTCTGTGTGCACTCTTCTAAATGGAATTGTACCTACCACTTTTAGGCCAGCGTTTCCCATTTAGTGTGCACTGGCTATCGTTCCTGTGTGTGGCTACTGCACAGTTTCTATAGCCCAGGTACTGCTGATTGACAGCTGGATTATGGCTGGATTTTCTGCTGATGCATATATGTTAAGCATCTTCGTAGTTAATTCTGTGCACACCTGTCTAACACGTTTTCAGAAATGGATGTGGGAATGTGCACTTTTCTTTAAGGCTCTTATAGCTGTTGCTTGATTGCCTCCTGTGCTCCAGGAGAAAGTGTGGGTTTTCTTTCTTTTTTTTTTTAATAGCAAAACATTTATTGGTACATTTTAGGCATACGCAATGATAACACCCATCGTAGGGAATTGCATCTGCACACTATATATCCCGCCTCTTTTTTCCCTTTCTCCCCTCCCTCCAGCCCCTCCCCCATTGTACAAAAGCTGTTTCCATTTTTTCCTATTTTCACTTTTTTCTTGTTCCTTCCTTTCTCCCTCCCCCTCCCTCGTTCCCCTTCCCCTTTGAACGTTTTCTTCCCATTTCCCCATATCTATTATACATTTTAGTCCTTATTTCCATTTTCAGTTTCTCACACCAGAGAAACAATGTGGTATTTAAACATACCGTCTCAAGGTGCATCCATTTAGCTATAAATGTCTGAAGCTCATGAAAGTTTGTCTCTTTCATCTCCCAGTTTAATAGCTTAAGAATGGTGCCATCAGACTTCTCCTTATCGATCCTTGCAAGTTCCCTGCATTCTTGGTCATTTGTTTTTCTTTTTGTTTTTGGTACGGGGGATCGAACTCAGGACTTTGCGCTTGCGAGGCAGGTGGTGGCACCACTGAGCTACATCTCCGGCCCTGTATTTCTTTTTGACTAGCTCATCCTTTGCACCAGCTGAGACTTGGTGAGCCTGGAAAGCTTGTGAGCCTCGAAGTCACACAGCCCTGCTGGTGATTGGCTGGAGGATGGAGGTGGTGGCTCGGCCTCTCCCAGTGCAGCTTCCCCCATCGCTGTTGCTGGGATGAGGGAGACCCTGCATGGTCAGTGGCCAGCCTGGCTCCTTGCCCGTGGTGAGGGCTGTGCAGAGCCCTTCGTGTGTCCGCATGGCCCACATGGCAAGCTGGGGTCATGGCTCTCTGCTGAGCACAGGATCAAGCAGTAACGTGAAGGACACGAAGCTTAGTCCTGGGATGATTTCCGAGTTTGCCCTGACCCTCAGCTTGGTTGTTACATTGCAAACTCACATGGGGCGCGTTGATCTGTTGGACCATTGCAGAAGTACGGGGTTGCCGAAGGCAAGGCGTTGAGCGAGCTACGAGCCATGGCCAAGGCTGAAGGGAAAGAGTGCCCAGTGTTCACACCTCCCGGAGGAGAGACGCTGGACCAGGTAAGCAGGAGCACCAGCCCCATCTCCATACAGGTGAACTTGCAGTGCCAGGCGGCTGGGATCAGCTCACTTGCAAATCAGAGGTTTGGGAATCACAGCCAAGCAGTTTGGAAGTTGCTTGGTTCACAAAACAGCTTGGCTTGGCATCATTTCTTTTTTCCTCTCAAGTTCTCCAACGTTTTGCACACGCCGTCATGGCAGTTGTCACTGGTGCCGGGTCTAGGGAAATGTGTTTAAGAGCGGCTGAGGTTGTGAAGCAGCGCCTGGGCAGGCGGTGTGGCAGGAGCCGCGACACAGGCCCTGCACTTATTGGGTCTCTCCCCTCTCTGCTCTTCGCTGACAGCCGGTGCTCCCATCCCTTCCAAGTCTTCCGACTTGAGTTGTGTTACTGGTGGTGGTTTCTTCCTACTTTTCACTTTGTAATCTCCCGATAAAGACTCACTGCATCAGGAAATGACTCAGTAAGAAGCAGGACTTAGCGTTGAGCTGTGGTGTCACTGCAGCCACGTTTCCCAGGGAGGCTGTTTCCTGGCGTTGTCCTTACTCTGGATTCCCTAACTACGTAGTTCCTCTGAGGTCAGGACTTGGAAGTTGTGTCTTACTCATTTTTGTTGCCACTGTGCTTGCAGAAATGTGGGGACACTCACACCAGGGGCTTCATAGTGGCCGGAAATGTAGCCTGGGACACTGGCTCATGTGCACTTACGCCGACACACTGGGAAGGTGTGCTGTCGGTCATGTAGATTGTTCAGTTTAAATTTGTCTTTTAATTATCCATGAAGACAAGTTACAGATGTTAATGAGCACCGTGTGATGTTGACTCAGCTTCCACTGTGGACGTTTAAGTAGCTAAGCACGTCCGCCTCCACAGACATCATCTCTTTATGATGGAGACCTTCAGAGTCCTCTCACCTTCTGAAAAGTGTAATCTGTAGTTGTTATCTGTGGACCCCAGGCCCGGGTGGCATGGCATAGCTGCCTGCCCCTGAGTGTGACTTATACCCACTGGCCAGACTGTCCCATCTTCTCTCCCTGGCCGCAGGTGACCACCATTCTGCTCCCAGCTTTTATGAGATCAACCTTGTAGATTTTGCATGAGTGAGACCATGCTCTGCTTATATTTTTGTGTCCAGCTTATCTTACTTAATATAATAATCACCAGTTCCATCCACATTGTCGCAAGTGACAGGATTTCATCCTTTTTATGGCTGAATAATATTCCATTGAGTGTATTACCACACATTTCCACATCTAGGCTAGTGTGAAGAATGTTGCACTGCAGTCTTCTCTTCAACACAATGATTTCATCTCTTTTGCACATACACCAGAAGTGGGATTATCGTAATCTTCTGAGGACCCTCCGTCGTGTTTTCTGCCGTAGATGTATAAGTTCCATTCCCACCCATAGAGTGCGAGGGCCCCTTTCATCCACATCTTTAGCAGCACTGGGTGTTAGTAGCCACCCTTCCTGGGGCTGAGCTGATGACTTGAGCTTTTGAGCTGGGTTTTCCTGGTGCCGAGCGAGGTGGAGCATTTGTTCACGGAAGCTGCCTGTTCGTGTGCCTGGAGATGTCTGTTTAGGTCTCTTGAGCATGTTTCAGTTGGATTGTCTTGCGCTGCTGGGGGTTTGGAGCCCTTGTGTGTGCTGACCCCTTGTCATGTGGGCAGCAGCGAGCAGTTCCCTTCCTCCTGTGGTTGTCGCTTCACTCTGCTGACTCCTTTGCTGGGCAGAAGCTTTCCATTTCGATGCAGTCCCATTCATCAGCTTGTGCTTTTGTTTCTTGTGTTTGGGATATTGTGCAAAAACTCCACGCCCATCCGCATCTTGGAGCGTTTGCCCTGCTTTTGCCTCTGGTTTCATAGTTTCAGGTCTTGGCTGGAAGTCTGCAGTCTGTTGTGAGCTGGTTCTGTAGCTGGCGAGAGGCAGGTAGGGTCTCCCGCTGCCACAGTACCATTGATGGGACGGAGCAGAGCCAGTGTTCTTCCTGGTGTGCGTCCTAGTGCCTGTGCTGGAGGTCCGTCGGCTGGCTGCAGATCCATGGTGTACGTCCAGGCTGTGTTCTGCTCCGCTGCTCTGTGTGTCTGTTTTAGGCCAGTACCATGATGGTTTGATTCCTATGGTTTTGTACTATATTTTGAAGTTACTGAAGTTTCATAGTGTATTTTGAAATAGTATAAACCTCCTGGTTTTTTGGTTTTTTTTTCTCTTCAGGGTGTCTTTGGTTATTTGGGTTTTTTTAAGTTCCATATAAGTTTAAAGATTTTAACAGTCACTTATGTTTTATGTTTCTATTTTAAAGAAGTCATTAATGTCATCTTATTTTACTTTTTATTTTTTCCTTACAGGTAAAAATACGTGGAAAAGATTTCTTTGAATTTCTTTGCCAACTAATCCTAAAAGAAGCAAGTCAGAAAGAACAGCTTTCCCCAGAAGTTCCGGGCAACTATCTGGAAACATCTTTGGCAGAGATATTTCCTTTAGGAAAGAACCACAGTGGTGAGTTTCGTGCAGACTGCAGCCCTCCAGGCCTGGCAGCCAGCATCCTGGTCGTGAGCCACGGCGCCTACATGCGGAGCTTGTTCGGCTATTTTCTGACTGACCTCAAAGGCTCCTTGCCAGCGACTCTGAACAGATCGGAGCTCATGGCCGTCAGTCCCAACACCGGGATCAGCCTCTTCATCATAGACTTCAAAGAGGGGGGTGAACCCACGGTCCACTGTGTCTGTATGAACCTGCGGGACCACCTGAGCGGAGTCAACTGACAGGGCCGAGCCCCCACGCGCCAGTCTCAGGTCGAAGGGTCTGCAGCGAGTGCTTTGCCTTGCTTCTTTTCTGTCCTCTGCTGTGCTGATTTGGAAACAGGGAGAATCACGTTCCAGACCTCCACATCAAACAGCGATAGCCATTTTGCACGATGTAATTTGTGCCAGTGCTGTTGGCACTTTCCAGAGTAATTTTACCGCCCTCCGCAGTCACATCTCTGCATTGTAAGTGGGTGAGGGAGCTCAGTGTTGCGGTTGGGGATTAATAATCTTGTTACTGTGTTTTCCCCCTTTTAAAATGTTGATGTATTTTTTTAATGCTCAGCTTATATTATTGGCTCCTGGTAAAATACTGTGTGCTTTTTACATCTCACCCAGTGCTTCAGAGAAAGAACTCCCTGTAATTGACACTGAATATTTATATTGATTGTGTTATATTTAAAGTCCTTTAAATGAAATATTCTCACCATCACAAGTTTATGTAAAGTAAAATGATAAAAGAACACTAAATGTCTTACGTACAAACCAGCTGTTGGAATATTTATTTTTATACTAGAGGGCTGAAGTGCAGGTGCGTATAGGTTATGATTGGAGGGAAGGAGTCAGACCACGTGTGACTGGAATATATCACAAGAGGTGATGAGCAAACCTGCCAGGAAAGGGAATAAAACATATGGAAAAACCCAAGGTTTGACAGGAAGAATGAAGAACAAGATCACTTGCTTCTTATGTAACCAGTGGGCTGAAGAATGTCCCGTTTAAGGAAGTCCCTAAAGGGAGTAAGTAGCTACTGTGCAGACACGGTAAGTGCAGTGTAAGGGAGAGAGCTTTGCTGAAAAGCGCCCTGCGATAGCTGCAAGGGACTCTGTGGAAGGGGCAGTTGAAGTTGTTTCTTCTTCCCACCAGATGGCGCTAGAGAAAAGGTTTTGATGAACCTGATTTGTACTCACCGTTGGTTCTTCAAAAGTCCTTATCTAATGTCTTATGTATAGTTCAAACCTAAGTCATCATGTTGCTGAATGCTGTGAGTCTTAACATATAAGATTAACGCTCACCTTGTCAGTAAAGGGAAACAGCACTTTCGACATCTCCTTAGAAGGTCATTTAAATTGTATGTAGACCTCAGTGTTACGCCATTTGCAGTGTGCCCGTCACGACAGTTTTCTGCCAGTATTGCAAAAGGCATGAATTTGTGTCAAGAGCCATTCTGTATAATTTTGGGGGGAAAAATCATTTCATAATTAAATTGTGATCAGGGCTGTCTGAGGCCTCGTCTTCTTGCCTGTCGGCTGGCCATGGCACGTGGGAACATAACTGCTTTGCCTCCAGCCACAGCTGAAGCCTCAGTGGTCCTCTGATGCTGTGACGCTCAAAGGCAAGGTTACATCAGCTGAAGACACCCTGGTTCCTTGAGAACCGAGCAGTAAGAGAAAGGTTTCACCTGGGGAGGACAAATGCCTCATTAGCCTGCCATCTCTTCCCACCTACTACTGTAGGAATGCTTTGCCCACCTCATCTCATCGCCCTGAGGTCCTCATCAGCATAGGGTTACCACCACCCTTGGAGTCTCCCTGCACTGCCTCTGATTATTGTGTGCACCCAATAGACACCCTGACCTCCCAGCGCCCCAGGTGCTCTGCAAGTCTGGCTCTTGTCTGTCTCTCTCTACCCTCTGCACACCACTCTCCAGGCAGGCTGGAGGCCTGATCGGCCTCTGAAAAGTTTGAACCCCACAGGAAGTGCACCATAAAGAAATACTTGAAATAATCACCAAAAAGACAAATGTCTTGATTCCCCCTTCCAGAAATAATAACTAAATATAAGGAAACAAAAGATCTAAGTAGAACTCTTCAGTCAGTTCTCACAGTGCCATCGCAGAGCCATCACGAGAGCGAATCTGTATCTGTGTCTTTCACATTTTCACCGAGTGACTGTAAGGCAACTGTATTATTTGGTGGTTTAGAAATACACACAGTTATCATCCAGCTGTCTGCGTGCTCTATTTTTATCTATTATGTGTCAGGGCTACCTGTTGGACCACTATCCTGCTGAATCAGTGCAGCAAGTTTTTATTTGATCTCCCACCAGTGGGCACCTGGGTGTCTTCAGGGTTTTCCTGTGGGAACAGCATCGGAGGGAACAGCCCCTGCACTGCCCCTGTGGAGGCTCCCAGAGCCCAGGGGCTCCCGACCACGAAGTGCAGCAGCTTGGTCCTCAGCCCTGGGAGGATTCAGTTTCTGCTTCCGTGTCTCTGCTGACAGTGGATGCTGTCTAACGTTTGCTAATTGCTGAGTGAAAAGAACCTTGAGTTTTCGTAAGCTTCCTGGAGTTGCTAATGAGCCTGGGCATCCTTTTCTTATGTAGATCCACAACTCTGGTTCCCTCACAGTAGTGCTTCCCTGCCTGGTTTTCTGTTGAGTTGGGCTTTCTCATAGTGAGTTGCAGGAGCAATTTCACTGTTCTGTTATATGCCTTGCAAACATATTCCAGGTTGTTACTTGTGTGTTTGTTTATTTGAGACAGGGTCTCACGGTGCAGTTCAGGCTGGCCTTGAACTCACCATGGAGCCCAGGCTGGCCTCTTGGCAGCAATTCTTCTGCCTCAGCTTTCCCAGTGCTGGGATTATGGGTGTGCACCACCACACCCAGCAGTTACTTGTTGCGGAGCTGTTTTTCCCCACACTTTTCTTAGTGCCTGTTGGTCATACAGACGTTGGGCACAATTGTGCATGCACATAACACACTGTAGCTGGCCCTTTCTCCACCACCACTGCCCCGCCCTCCAGTCTCACGGTGGTGTGTGTGTGTGTGTGTGTGTATTGCTGTGTAATGCATGTGATCATATTTATGCCCCGTTACCTGACCTTCAATTCCCTCCCTTCCCTTTCTTCCCTTCCTTTTCTAAAAATAGTCTCCTTCTACTTATCTTTTTTAGATTCCACATATTAGGGAGAACTGAGATATTCATCCTTCTGGGTCTGGCTTATTTTACTGGGCACGATGATCTCCAGACCCATCCATTTTCCTGCAAATGACAGAATTCCATGCTTTTCTATGGCAGCTTTGTTGTGTATATGTAAACCATGTGTTCTTTACCCACGTCTCAATGGGCACCTAGGCTGGTTCCATGTCGGCAGTTATATTTTTGCCACAAGAAACAAGGGCATGCAGATGTCCTCTGGTGTGCTGACTTCCATTCCTTTGGGTCTAAACCAAGGAGCAATACAGCTGGATGGAGAGGTTGCTGCATTTTTGCGTCCTGAGGGACCTCCATTCGGATTTCCGCAGTGGCTGTTTTTCACACTCCCACCAGCGGTGAGAGGTGCCCCTTCTCCCCTGCCTCTTCACCAGCACTTGGTGTGTTTGTATTCTTCATGACAGCCATTCCAACTAGGGTGGAGTCTCATTGTGGGTTGGATTTACATTTCTCTAATGGCTTGAGATGTTGGACCTTTTTTCATTTACATACGGGTCATTTGTACATTTGAGAAATGTCTGTTCAGTTCTTTTGCCCATATATTGATTGGGCTATTTGTTTTTTTGGTGTTAAGTTTTTTTGGTTTTTGGGGTTTTTTTGGTACTGGAGATCGAACTTAGGACCTTGCACTTGCAAGGCAGGCACAGTGCCACTGAGCTAAATCCCCAGCGGTGTTGTTTTTTGAGTTCTTTATGTGTTCTAGATATTAATCCTGTGTCAGAAGAGTAGCTGGCAAGGATTTTCTCCCATTCTGTGGGCTGTCTCTTCACTGTTGATGCTCTTGCTGTGCAAAAGCTTTTAAACCTGACCCAGCCCCATTTGTTGGCTCTTGCTATTATTTCCTGTGCTATTTGGAGTCCTATTCAGAAAGTTTTTGTTCCCATAGCGTCTGTGTCTCTGCTGTGTTTTCTATTAGCATTTCAGAGTTCTGGGTCTTAGACCCAGGCCTGTGATCCATTTCGAATTGATTTTGTACAGGGTGAGGGACAGGGACCTGGCTCCGGCCTCCTCCAAGTGGAGGTCCCACTTCCCAGCATGGCTGTTAAGGAGGGTGTCCTTCTCCGGTGTTTGCTTTGGCCCTGTCAAGAGTGAGCTGGCTGTGGTGTGTGGGTTTGTTCTGTGTCCTCTCTCTGTCCCACTGGTCTGAGTGTCCCTTTCTGCCAGAACCATGCTGTTTTGTCACCACGCCATTGTGTCACTGTTAGAGACTGGGTATTGCAGTGCTGCCAGCCCTGCGGTGTTTGCTTTGGTTCAGTTTGGCTGTTCTGGGTCTTTCCTGTTTCCATATGACCTCTGGGATGTCTGTCTGATTCTGTAAAGAACGTCACTGGTACTTTGATGGGATTCCATTGAATCTGTCCAGTGCTTTTGCTGGGATGACCATTTAACCACATTCATTCTGCTGCTCCCTGAACATGGGTCTTTCCATCTCTAGTGTCTTCTTCAATTTCTTCCTTCAGAGTTCTGAAATTGTCTTTGTAGAGTCTTCTATCTCCTTGATTAGATTGACCCCTAGGATTTGTTTTTGAAGCTATTGTGAATAGAACTGTTTTCCTGATTTCTTTCTCAAGTAGTTCATTATCGGTGTATAGAAAAGCTATTGATTTTTTTAATGTTGATTTTTTTTTTTTGATACTGGGGATCAAACTCAGGACCTAGTGCTTGCAAGGCAGGCGGCAGCACCACTGAGCTAAATCACTGGCCGTTAATGTTGATTTTATATCCTGGTGCTTTGCTGAATTTATTTATCATCTCTACAAGTCTTCTGGTGGAGACTTTAGGGTCTCCAGTGTATAGGATCATATCTGCTGCTGTGCTTGGTGGTGCACACCTGTAATTCCAGCACTCAGGAGGCTGAGGCAGGAGAATCGCCACTAGTTTGAGGCCAGCCTGGACCACATAGTTCAAGACCAGCCTGAATTACATAGTGAGACCCTGTCTCAAAACAAAAAACAAAACTCCAAGAAGGATCATATCTGGTAATAAGGATAATTTGACTCCTTTTCCTATTTGTGTCCCTTTTATAAAGCAATTGGAGCCATTTAGCATGTACTTTTTATATGTTTTTAATTTGTAGGTCAAGCTAATGTACCTTATACTTATTTAGTCACGTGTGTATATGTATCTTTAAGAGGCTTCCGCTATTATAAAGCCATATAATTTCTTTTTTTCTTGTAATTTTAGAGGATTTTTGAATGTCAAACCTTTAAATTATCTGGACTTGATCTTTGGCATAAGGTAAAATTCAGTTTTATGTTGTTTCCAGTGTGAAGCAAGTGGTTACCCCCAACACTTTTTTTTATTAAGAGTCTGCTCCTAGCTGGGTGCACTGGTGTGCACTTGTAGTCCCAGTACTCGGAGGCTGAGGCAGGAGGATTGCTAGAGTGTGGGAGTTCAAGCCCAGCCTGAGCGATAGTGAAAAGCATCTTAGAACAAAGGACAACAGCAGCCAAGAGCCTGCCCCTCCTAGTGGTGCAGCTCTGCTGCCTGCCCTCGCGCCCACCGGTGCTCGGCTGCCCTGGGCTCTGTGTTCCGGGACGACGCTCCTGCCT